TGATGATGATATTTCTTTATATGCGGAGAATGACAACATCATCTGGGAAGATATTGATAAGAACTATGTTAACGAGAGTTGGGATGCCTTCATGGGGAGTGATACAGAGTCCAGAAGAGAGGTTGTGAATTTTCATTATATTTGTGAGGAAGATGAAGACTTTTCTATGGTGCAGTTCGATTATTGTGTTGCTCCTAATCTTTGCTTTGAAACATCTCTTGAGCTTCCAGTGACACCTAGAGTAATCAAAGTTTTCACTCATGTTCTTTGTCCACTCTAAGAGGATGAGAGTTTCATACTTCACTTCTGTGCTGATGAGGGTTATGAAGACCATGTGCTGCATACGTGTACTCGAGAATTTAAAGGTCTGCGACACTTAAGGGCATTTGTTGAGGGAAAGCTAGATACTTTGATGATTAGTGCACCACTGCAGTCGGTGCTATTTGAGAGCTTACGAGGTAACGTCGGAAAAACGACGTTAAAAATAGAGCTTCTTGGGAGGCAACCCAAGTTTAATTCCGCACTTTTGTCTTTGTTTGTTTGCTTTCAAGAAAACCCCTGAAAAAAAATCCGGGATGTTTTCTGATTTTGTTTTTGTGTTTGTATGTTTTGTTTTTGCATCTCAGGGTCTTGCTTTGGGGATGATGTGCTGAGGATCACTTGAGTCAGTTTAGTGCTGGACCGACCAGCGCCTTAGAGAAGTTTCTGCGACTCTTATAATCGCCTATTTGTAATGTTGACTGGAGTTGAGATTTGAGCACGTGTGACCCTTTCCTCTTTACCCCTTGTGCATAGTGCATTTTTGTTCATCGAGGGTGATGCCAAAATTTAAGTGTGGGGGAGTGAATTGGGCATTCGAACAGTAGTTGTCACATGGGATTAATAGAGTTAGCATGTGCAGGTGTTAGTTGTATATTCATAGGAAAGTCATGTCAAAATTTTTGAAATTTTTTCTTTAAGCTTTGTCTTTGTGAGCTGGCTAGTATTTTGACTATGCTTTTAGGACATCCTTGAAGTGTTTAGGCTTAAACTGCTTTCATGGTAATCTAGTTGTTGAAAGGATGAAGGCATTAGTCACTCATTGAATCGTTTCACAAATCATCCACCTGACCTGAATAAACCCTTTAGGAGAAACCATTTTGAGCCTGACCGTCAAGGGATTTTTCCTCGTTAAATACGTGTGTTCCTACTTACAGTGTTTCCCTTACCCCGCACTAGAACTCGTAGAAAAACTGTCACATTTCTACTCACACAATTCACTCCCCGCTTGTGTTACTAACCGGTTCATCACCACTGTTGCAACTCATCTCTTCTTCTCCTTTCTTCTCAGCCCAATCCCTATGAGTCCCTCACAATCTGGCGACAAGGACAAGACTAGATTCTCAGGATGGTCACCACTATATTTTCGATCAGATCTAGTCTGAACTAGATCTGGTTAGGGTTGGCCATGGTTGAGCGGTGTGGATGTAGTGGTTGGCCGAAGAAAGGGAGCACGATCGGGAACTGATCAAGTTGGAGGTGGGATAGTGGTAGGGGTAGGGATGGGGTTGAGGTAGTGACTGAGGCTGTGCAGGGACCATGATGGGGGAGGGGAGACAGTGGTCTTCAGGCAGACCGGTGGTGGTCAATGGCCATGCATTGGTCACTAGCCCTGTGACCATCAGTGACCATGTCACCATGACCGACATGGTCACTGATGGAAGGGTGGTGGACACGGAATGGGGGTAGAATGTATTTGATTCTTATTGAAAAGTATAAAATGCTTACAATAATGTTAGAGATAGAGTGGATAGAGAGATTAAGTTATTGAATTGAAGTTTGTCAACCCTTTATAATAAAATAAATGTCAGTATTTATCACCGTTCTAAAAGTCGTTTTAGGCGCCCGACTAGTCCCTGTCTAGGTGCTAGGCGGTGGTCGGGCACCCCGATTTTCATCTAGGCTCCCGATTAATTGGTTTTCCGAATAAGTGACTTAGTCGGCCGCCTATGATGCCTAGTTACCCGTCCAGAGCGCCTAATCGGCCGCCTAGGGCATCTAGATTCGTCAAACGTTACTTTACTGTTTAATTTTATTTTTCCAAGGTATATATGCACCTTTTACTTTAACCACAGATACAAAGAAATGTAGTTGTAAATTAAGATAAAAACTATATATCTTTGTATATATACTCAAATTTTATTATTATTTACTACCTCCGTCCCGAAAAGGTTTGCCATATTGACTTTTCTTAGTCAGTGATGACAAACTTTGGACAATGATTTTAATTATTATATTTATCTATAATTTATAATTTTTATACTTTTATGAAAATATTTTGAATAAGGAACATTTTGATATAATTTTCATATTTCAAATATTTTCGTATTAAAAAATATCACTGGTCAAAGTTGAATGTCATTGACCAAGAAAAGTCAATTTGGCGAACCTTTTCGGGACGGAGGGAGTAATATTTATAGCATAGCGAAGTTAAGTGATTAGTTATCATATACTCCCTCCGTCCCTTAAAACTTTGCCAAGTTTGACTGGCACGAGGATTAATAAAATAAAAACTGTGTGTTGAGGTCTGTCCAGAGGAGAGAGAATTGATTGTAGCCACAAATTCTTTACTTAAAATGGAAAGTGGCAAAGTTAGTGGAACATCCAAAAAAGGAAAGTTGACAAAGTTTTAAGAGACGAAGGGAGTACTACATATGTAGTATTAAATTTGACAATTCTATCATTCATTTTTGTTAATGTATGCGTGTATATATTATTTACACACAAATACAATAGTACTTATCATATTTGTGCAAAAATATTGATCAAAATACAATTTCTATGTCTCTGATTAGTCCCCGCCTAGGCACCCGCCTAGCCGTCTAGGCGCTAGGCGCTAGACTGACGCCCGACTAGCGCCTAACGCCTTTTAGAACATTGGTATTTATAATACAAGATAAAAGGTGATTGGCATGATGTGGTGTTCCCTAATAGGATAACCTTTTTGTGAGTGTATCTGATGAAATGTTGTTCTGTCTAAACTCATATTTTCCACGAATGTCTGGATGGTGTAGATTTTTCAGATCGCAAAGAACATATCTCGTCCAGCCTATTCCGTTCGGGGCGAGATAGTGATCGATCTCGGATGGGACACACATTCCGAGCGATGGGCCTCTAGATTGGTTGGGCGCCGTTTGAAATAAAAAAGGTCTTAACGTGCAATGTGAAAAGTTTACACTTTTTCATGTTTCGCTTGCACTTTTTCTTGATTTCGTTGCACGTTTTCGCGATAGCTCAAAAAAATTGGTTTTTTTACAAAACTGCCACCGTCATTTTGGTCGAATTTGGCCAAAATCAAAATGGCCAAAAAGTGCAACGCAAACAACAAAAAGTGCAAGCGAAACATGAAAAAGTGAAAACTTTTCACTTTGCACGGGAAGATCACTTTTCATTTGAACCCTTCCCTATATATATAGAGGGAGGTTCAAATACAAAGTACACCTTATATGAAAAGTGAGGAGTAATCTTAGCCGTTAAAATGAGAAAATGAATGGATTAGATCAATTTTAAAGTGGAAATTCGGTGCCAATAGTGTAAATATTAGAAAATTCAGTATGAAAGTGTAAATGATAAAGTGCATGACTATGGAGAAAAAGTGCATTGGAGTAACACAAAAGTGCATCACTTTTCGGGGAAAAAATAACAAATATTGAAATCGTTTGTGTTATTTTTTTAGGAGGTGAATATGCATTCTTACATATGACTCATTTAAGTTTACCGTGAGTTTGGATCTATTCCAACCATTTTCAAGAAATCAAGGGCTTAGATGACTTCTCACTTTTCATGGGAAGACCTCTTTGTATTAGAACTCACCCCTATATATATATATATATATACATATATATATACATATATATGTGTGTGTGTGTATGTATATATGTATATACACACTAATTCATATAGGAGTTTTATTATTTGTCATTCCTCCACACAAAACTTTAATTACTACTAGGATATCATTTTTTACATTTACATTCTGGGTCTAACTTGACAATCAACTCTGAATGGAGGGAATTAATACGTGTATCTTCTTCGTATATAGACAATCTGTACAATATCGAGTAATAGTTTATATAAGGGTTAATTATCAAAATAAGACTAAAAGTCACTCACTTTGCACAAATAGGACCATAAACTAAAGTATGTTTTTATAGGATTAATTATGTGTGTCTTGGACAAATATACCCTTCTAGCTATTGAAATGTTTTAATTCATAATAATATAATAAAAAATAATAAAATTCGAAAAAATACTAAAAAAATAATAAAAATATTTCGATAATAATAATTAATTAAGTTATTTTTAAAAAAAAAATTAGAAAAAAATAAAAAAAATAAAAAACTTAAAAAATAAAATAAAATTCACCGCCGCCTCTGCACCACCACCTCCAGTCACCGAAAAAAAAGCCAAGTTCATTACGAATGACATATTGATGGTAGAAAATAATGAAAATGTTGGCATTCTCAAAGAGAAATATGCCATGTTTTTGGCATTTTCAGGAAAAAATGGCAGTTTTTAGGGAAAATGACATTTTTTCACCGTCTGGAGATGGTGGTGCAGGGAGGTAGTACAGGCGGTGGGAAAGGCATCCATATTTTTTTTAATTTTTTTATGGAGTTTTACTATATTTATTAATTTTTTAAAAAAATATAAAAATTTAAATTTTTTTTTTGTTAATTTCTTATTTTATAAATATTTTATAATTTTTTTAATTATTTTTCTACGAATTTTTGAATTTTTTTCGAATTTATCATGAATTAAACATTTAATTAACTTATATTTAAAGGAAGGGTAAGAATGGAAGGAAAAAATAGGTATGTTTCCAATATGACTAATTTGGTCCTATTTTGAAAAGAAAAACGTAGTAAGTCCTATTTTGAGTTTTTCCCATACTTTTAGTCCTATTTGGAGTAATTTCTATTTATATAATTAGTACGGACTAATAAATTTTGAGTTCTTACAGGCGGGCCGTCGCACAACTCAATTACTCCTCGTCCAACCATATTACCCTGCACGTAAATAAATAAATAAATAAATAAATAAATAAATAAATAAATAAATAAATAAATAAATAAATAAATAAATAAATAAATAAATAAATAAATAAATAAGTAAGTAAATAAATAAATAAATAAATAAATAAATAAATAAATAAATAAATAAATAAATAAATAAATAAATCAATCAATAAATAAATAAATAAATAAATAAATAAATACCACGCATTTATTCATTTATTTATTGTGAATAACTATGTATTTTTATAGGAAGAATTTGTACTTTGACTCCATTTTTATGTGATATTGGCTTTTGCACTTCATTCCCTTAAAAAGTCTTTGACTTTGCACTTTATTCTGATTTTGTTTTTCTCACAAAAAGCAGGGCGTTTGGGTGCAAATTCATTTTTTTTTGAAAATAGGGTGCAAAATCCAATTTCTCTCAAAAGTGAAATGCAAAGTCAAAATTAACTGAACATGATATCAGTTGATGAAAATGTTGATCACAATTCAAGTTAATGCGATATGTCCGCTGCACCTGGGAGAGAGCAACCATATTGTAGCCGTCTTTGAGTTCTGGCATCGCCTTGAGCTGCAATTATTCAATTGAAAAAGAGATAATAACCTTAAATATGAATAAATTAATCCCTAAATGCACAAATAAGACTATGTTATTTATCTTCCCCAATTAAGACTAAAGTATATTCTATCTTTCTATTCTACCCTTACCACAACTTAATAGGATAATCATATTTTAATTTGTAATAAATACAAAAAATCATACTGAAAAAAATAATTTAACTTATACAATTCAAGAAATCGTAAAAACATATAAAACATTCCAAAATTTTTTTAAAAAATACGAAAATAATAAGAATAAAAAAATAATTATTTTAAAAAATTAAAAACTTGAAAAATAAATAAAAAATAGATAAAACATCTTAAAAAATATAAAAAATACGGAGGCCTTTCGCACAGTCACAGCTACTGCCCAACAACTTTATCTCTGATCGGCTAAAAAATGCCATTTTGTGTAAGAACTGCCATTTTTTCTCTAAAAATGCCATGAAGATGACATTTTTACTCTTGAAAATACCAAAAAAAAATCGCAAAACTGCCATCAAGATGGCATTTCTGACACATGTTGGCATTTTTTTCGGGTGATCGGAGCTGGTGGTGCTGGGAGATTGTTGAGGCGGCAGCATGGGCCTACATTTTTTTATAATTTTACATTATTAATTTATTTATTTATTAAGTTTTTTTTTCATCAATTTTTATTTTTCGATTTTTTTTTATTTTTATTAATTTTAAATAATTTTTTATTTCACGTTTTTTATTATTTTTTTCATTTTTATTATAAATAAAGTTATGTTTATTATTTGATATTTTAATTTTTAATGAAATATGAATTGTATTAAAATACAGAAAGTGTAGAATTGGAAAGCTAGTCCTATTTAGGGAATTTTTAAGTTATGGTCCTATTTTGACAATTAAAGTTTCATTTGGTCCTATTTGAAGAATTCTCCCTTGAAATAATTATATGCACGCAAGACTATTAAAATATCCGTCACAAATAGTGACATTAAAAAATAAGTATAGAACATCGGACCATTCTTTATCTCTATTTAACCTTTTAGGATAAGTTCCAAACCGATATCAATACACATGTTTTACCATTTATATATTTCATTCACTACCAATAAAAAATTTAAGAAATTCAGATTTTGAAAATTTTAAATGAGATCAATTTAAGAATATTTTTCAAATACTAAATCTATAGTACATTAATCAATGAAGTATAATCAATGTAGAGCATGTGAGTAATGTAAAATTTAATAAGGGAATGAAGCTAGAGTATAAAGTAACAAATTATTAGGCGTTTGACTAATCATACTAGGAAATGATCCTTCAGATGGAACTTTAATTACATTATGATATCATATTCTTCTAATATCACACTATAAAAAAAGGATGATACCTCATCCTTGAGGGCCCCCAATCTCGACCGGACGGTACGTTGAAAGGATGTAAATTGAACTATAATCACAATCTGACAGATAGAGAGTGAGACTCTGTCCCCGGTACTTGCCGAAAAACTATGCATTTTTAGCATATTAACCTCTCATCGCAGTTACCGGGATTCGAACCCGGGACCTAACCCTTGTGACACTCCGTTGCTACCAGTTGAGCTACGCCCACCGGTTCTAATATCACACTATAACATCATGTCAAATTGCCAATGTGTTTCTTTTTCCAACACCTTTCGCTATACGAAGTATGAAATACTAGAGTGAGCTTAATTTTACCTAATAGTAAACTTTAGTATCTGGGTAGGTGTATTATATGTACCATCATATCATTGTTTCTATTTTGTAATATTGGTTTATTATTTACACAAAACTGGTGTCATATAAATATTTGGAATTTTATCAATACTTTCTTAGAACAAACCGCACATAACAACTAAAGTATGAATATGGGCCAAACATCACCTAAATATAACCCGATTTGGCTCTGATAGCAAGTTACCGTATGAAGTTATACAATGAGTCATCCTAAATAGATGGAGTAGCTCGATAGGTGTGAGATAAACATTTTGTTCTTGTCCCACACTTAATATTTCTAAAACAACTAGACACTATATTACAATCTTCGGCTACTTCTCCTATCGGGTTGAACTTTTAGGATGGAATCCCGAGTCTTAACATCATAAGAAAATTATAACCTTTTTTAGTTTGACCTTTTAGAATGAAACCCAAAGTCTTAACACATTTCAAAATATGTTATGAAAAACAATATGAGTATATGAATAAAATAAAATGTTTTGTTATTTGCGTCAATCTTAACTTTCAATTTTACCTCCATAAATTGAATACACAAACGGTGCTAATAAGTTGCTAATACTTTCCCATATGTGTGGTTAATAACCTTGCAATGGAGTCAAAGATTCATTATTTTTTGACTTGAGATTATGATGGAATATAGCAAAATGATTCACTAAACTGTCTGCGCTTCTTTGTTATGAAGCACCAGTCAGTCCATGCAATTTTGGACGCGATTTTCTCTATGGGTCATCCGGAAACAGTCTCTCTGTGCTTTAGTACAGGGGTAAGACTGCGTACATCCGACCTCCCCTTACCCCACCGTAGGTGGGAGCCTTTGCGGCACTGGGGTAAATGAAAATGAAAATGATGATGTGTGGTTAATAACTTTATATATGAAATGAAATGCGTGAAATGATAATTACACAATTTTTTTTGTTATAAAATAAGATAATAATGGGATCGGAATAAGATGAACTCAGATGAAATCACGAGAACGAAGCGAGATTTAATTTGATTCATCACGCACCTTGCCACAAGCATTTTCAACCTGCAGAGGATGAGGAAAAGTGACTTAAAAATATAGCTAGCTAGGTTCATTCAAGAAATCAACGCCCTAATTGATAAATCAAATCACACTTCAATTCAAAAGTAAATCTCACTTGATTGTTCATTGGCATCATCCATGAGTCCATTAGCCCGTTTCCAACTTCCCTTAAAAGCGAAATGGTTCATATAAATAATGTTAAATTAATTAAATCAATAGATATCAGGGGTGTTTCAAATTGATTCTACCTCTACTTCTTTTTTAAAGCATAACTAAATTAGAATCCCTTTTTTTGGAGGCCAATTTCCCCTAACATCTCAAAAAATGCTTCTAGTATCAATTTTTAGCACTTAGAATTACTTCTATACTTTTACTCAAACAATATGTGGTTTTAATCTTTAAAACAGTAGTAATAAAAAAAGTAGAAACAATTTAAAACATGAGTAAATTTTTGCCAAGTTTGGCATTACTATGCTTTAAAACATGACATATTTTTTTCAAACTCGGGAGATTACTCTTATTCAGGGAATAAAAAACATGATACTCCTATTTAAAACATGATATTTTTTTTCAAACTTGGGAGATTACTCCTATCCGGGGATAAAATTTCCGTTTAAAAAAGCACATCTAGACCGTCTGGTCCGTCTAGATCATCAGTCCAAGAGAAAGGCTGAAGAAGTCAACAAGCCTAAAATGGTATGGAAAGTGAAGTGAAATTTTACTTTTACATGTGCAAGATAAAAATATAATAGGGATGGGAGTATATAATTTAATTACACGCATGAGCCTTTAACTTTGGTCAATGTGGTAAGTGTCATCGTGTAATAAATGCTCCCTGCATCGTTGCATTGCATTGAAATACCTGGTAATTTTAAAACATGAATTGAAATGTAAGACACTCCTGGCCTATTAAAATTTGAGAAGATCGAAAATTGTAACACTGATATACAAAAAGGTCAATTATATTAAAACTACCGTGATGCTTAGACTTTGCACACCCACACTTATTTAATAATCACTACATATTACCGTATTAGATCGAGAGAGTTGTAATTTTAATCCTGTAACTTTCGACTGTTCTCGTTATTAGTTTTGTAACTTTACTTGGTTGCAAATTTGATTCCATGAAAAATCAATCTTTGCAATTTAAAGACGTTTCCACATGAAAGTTCACTTTCCGGCATACAATAATTTGACAATGGCAACATCTTTTGTGGCAAATTTACGACTAGAAAGTGTACTTTTAAGACCTAAAATCCTTAAATTGCAAAGATTTATTAGTAGTTATAATAATGGAATGGATTGGGTGTAATTATCATGCATGTCATGAATTGGCTGGTGATGGACTTGGCCGGCATATATATATATATATATATATATATATATATATATATATATATATATATATATATATATATATATATATATATATATAGATAGGGAAGAGTTCAAATAAAAAGACCTCTTCCCGTGTAAAGTGCGAAGATATGCACTTTTGCATTTTTCGCTTTCACTTTTGCGTGTATCTATTACACTTTTTCGCGGTAACGAAAAGTGCAACATATTTACGAAATTGCCACCGCGATTTTGGTCGAATTTTGTGCATTTTTGGCTCATTTTGAGCCATTAGATGTGGAAATGAATGCACAAGATTCATTCTCACTTTGCATGGGAAGAGGTCTTTGTATTTGAACCATCCCCTATATATATATATATATATATATATATATATATATATATATATATATATATATATATATACACACACACACACACACACACACACACACACACATACATACCATGGAGAACGATAAAAGGTGTAGAAGATGAGAGCGGAATTGAAGCGAAGAGCATGATGGCAAGAACAAGCAGAGTTGAGAATGAGAATGGCGATAAACAATAAAGATCCATATAGTCTAGCTTATTTATATGATATAAATTGATGGTCTATCTTATTAAGATAATCGATCAGTTCTCCTATATATGTGCTTTAATATAATGCGGGTAAAAGAATTGAAGGTGAATTATATATTAGCCCCAGCGTCTAGCTAGCCTGATCGACCGAGTAAGTATATATATATATAGATAGATAGTATGGTTGTGTGGAATGCAAATTAATAATGAATTGAAGGATTGGCGGCAAATTGCGTGATGCATGGACAGCATGGTTTAAAGAGAGAGTAGCGTGACATTCCATTTGCGTACGTAGACGGAGCCCAGCTGGTTTGGCGCTCACGCAATATGCATGCACGCACCTATGTACTAACATTACGTGATTGGGTACGCAGGTTTGCCTTTTTCTAGGGACACTCCGTCTCTGACTACACCATTAATTAGGCTAGCTATTAGTATTTCAAACTACGCTGTCTTTGGCAAAAACAAGTTAGTATTTCAGGACCTATTATCCGAATTTAAAACTATTATCTGAAGTTGAATTTTTACTAACTGAATCTTAAACATAAACTCAATGAAGTAGGCCTTTTGGCTGCAAGGGCTCAATGAGTTCCCAACTCAAAAAGTGTTAAATTAGATTAAAGGGAAAAAAATTCTATTAAAAGATAAACATTTTTTAATAATGTTATAGATACGGAATATGTGATTATATATATATATATATATATATATATATATATATATATATATATATATATGTGTGTGTGTGTGTGTGTGTGTGTGTGTGTGTGTGTGAACTAATTACATATTTCTGACTAAAATAAAGATTGTTTACATACGTACAAAAATGTAACTAGTGATTAGAATAGTAATGAAATCATAGTAACTTATGTACAAGTTTTAAACTTAAGTTACCATGGAACTAGATTGTATTAACTATTAGTCATATTTGTGTAAATAAAATGTATTTTAGTAATATTTTTGAAAAGAATCCCTATATATAATATAATTAATTAGTTAATTTATGTATTTTTCAACAAATTAAAAATTGAACTTTTCTGTCACGAACACATTAGACACACCCCTTTAAACTTGCCGCTCCGCTCTCACACATCCTGCCTTTCGCCATATATCATTTTTCCGCCGCTTCCCATCTCGGTGGCCATAACAACATCACAAAGAGAAAAATAGGTGTTAAGGAACGAAGAGAAGGAGCAATTTTTGTGGTTGAGAAGAAGATATGAAGCTAATTTATGGTATGCTACCTCCGTATCGAAAATGTTTGACATATTGACGTTTCTTGATTAATGAAGACAAACTTTAAACAATGATTTTTGATATTTTATTTGTATATCACTTACAAAGTTTATATAAGCTTCCTCCTCTACTATTATTTTATTTTGGTTTATCTGATTATTTAATTAATGACAAGTACGTATTGGCCCTGGTAGGACTAGAACTCATTATTGAGAAAGACTTTCATTGTGATTGAGAAACTAGTTTAGAACTAGTATAAATACATCTTCCTCCGTCATAATATGTAGACTAGTTTTCAGATTCTGTATTACCAGTTCATTTCTCAACAAAGAGATTTTCTAGTTTTTCTCTTATGGAGATTTAACCGTTCTTTCGGAAACGGAGAAATCACGTGGATTCCTAAGGTAGGTCAAGCACTATCATTTTTAGAGCGAAAGATCTGTAAGTTCTAACTCAGATCTGTTATTATTGTTATATTCGTTGTTTTGCCATAATCAGGGAAGATATCTTTCTGAAAATTTTAAACTCCGTTGTTGTACTTTCAAGGTATGTTACATCAATTTCTTAACATGTTGATCCCGGTTAGATCTTTAACTTATCCCTTCACGGATATTCAATCGAGGAGTATATCCAATTTATCGAGGGTAGTTATTAATAACGAGACCGTTCATTAACAACCCTTACTATTAACCAAATATAGAACAACGTCATATATTGACTTAATAGTAGCAATAATCTTTTTAACTCCTTGATTAAACCAATTGAGATTTATAACATTAACACAATGGTTTCGGTTTAACCGACACAATTAATCACTCTTAAGATTATTAACCATGAGACCATGCATTAATAATCCGAAGTTACTTACTTGTGAAACCATCAATGATTAACCATCGGTTCATTGATCGTTTCTAGTAGTAATTAATGTCGAGGTGTTAAATAATCATCACTTAGCAACACCCCAACATTAATATAAAAATAAGATTACTGGAAGAATTAATATTCAAGAGAAGAAGTTGAGAAAATAACTCACAACTTAAACATTCAACAAGCTTGAAGAGCAAAACAAAGAAATGGGAGTTCGGCTCCCTATTTGGAGACTAAACAATGCTACAAAAATATAAAGAAAATGCTATTCTAACTTGAGCTTAAGTGTATATGAAAGAAGGAATGATAATTGTGAAGGAAAAGTGTGCTATTTGTCGGTATTTTAACACCTTGCACCGGATACCCGACTAGGTATAGGTCATACCCGACCGAGTAATGGTCAAAATCAAATAATCTTCCACATTCTTGTGTTCTTCAGCATGTCTGCTTGACCGGGTTAAGTCATACCCGATCGGGTATAGGCCCACACCCGACCAAGTATGTGTACAATTTCGTAGTAGCTTCAGTTTTCAACTCATACCCAACCGGGTGATGGAGTATATGGGTCTAGGCCCCAGGACCCACATACTCAGAAGAACAGAAAGCACGAACCACTGCACTGTGCCCTCGTCGGTGAAAGGACCCATGACGGCCGAAGAGGGACCAACTCCGAATATGATCCTGAAGCCAGGGAACCAGGGTGTCCTCGTTGGCCGTGCCCTCGTTGGTCGTGCCCTCGTCGGCCAGACCCTCGTCGGCCACGGAGGACTCGCAGGACTAGATTTTACACTTATTCATTTATGTAGCCCATCAGTAGCTTTGTATTCGGCCCAATAGCGGTCCAGCTGTAAATGGGCCTCCCAAGCCCAAGCCTCGGGAGCCCAGCCCGTATTTTCCTTATAAATACTTCCTCTGGAGGTAGTTATAGGGGTTACAAAATCATTCTATTGAAGCATTTACTTGCACTTCTCTCTCTAGCTCTCACTTCTCTCTAGATATATACTCCATCATTTGGTGCTCTCGTTGAGAGCTAGAACAATCAGGTTAGCACCACTCGTCGCTACCAAGCACAGCTAACCACTGATCATGGGAAGAACCAAGTCAAACCGCAACCTCATCAGCAAGGCCATCCCTGAGGATCAGGAGACCAGGGAGCATGAGGAGGACGCTACGGCCGACCAGGTCGGCGGAGGGGACGTCTTCCAGGAGGCCATCAACCTCACGTCGGACCTCCGCAACCAGCTCAACGGCGGCGCCCCCGACGCCCTTATCGGCCTGGACAAGAAGCGCGCAGAGAAGATAGACCACGCCCCGGCCAAGCCTATGGCCGCGGCTTCTCCGTCTGTGGATCCACAGGTCCAGGCCGTGTTGTCGGTCATCATCGCCAGCTTGGCCTAGAACCCCACCGTCCTCAGCGCACTCTTGCCAAGGACTGGGGGGAACGTCACTCCACCTCCTCAGCCCCAACCGTTGGCCGTCAGGTTAGGCAACGATGAGGGAGTGATGGCCCAGGACATGGCGTCGTCCCACTCCCACCCCACTTCCCCTCTTCGGCCTGGGCAGACCCCAACGCGTGGAAAAGCCTCTTCCTTCAATAGGCTAGGTGACACGCGCCGTCGTCCGGTTTCGGAGAGGATGGCAGGGCGGATTGGTGAGCGTCGGCCTGGCTCGCCTAGGGAAAGCTTGGGGTCTGTGTCCCGGACAGCGGACCAGCCCCGCCTGGACAAGGGCAAGGGGAAGTTGCACGAGGACGACGTGCGCCACCAGATCAATGCGGCCCACGATGAGCGCATGAAGAACCAGCAGGGCGCCGCTGCGTCCGCCAGGGATCCCCCGGACGAGGTCATCGCCCAGCTGGAAAGGAGGCTGGCCCAGATGGAGGCCAGGCAATCGGCAAATGTCCCTACGCTCGGCGCCTCCAACGATCCTGGCCTCAACGCTCTCATGAACAAGGTCAGCGCCCTTGAGAGGGAGTTGGCCGAAGGGTGAGGTGACCTCGTCATCCAGGTCAGGACAAGGACCCCATTCACTAACAAGGTGCTCTCGCCCCCCATCCCGGAGAAATACAGGGGAAACGCCATCAAGTCTTACGACGGCCGATCATACCCCCAAGAGCACTTCAGCCGCTAGCAGAACAACATACTGATGGTGAACGCGTCGGATGAATATCTCTGCCGTTGGTTCCTCTCCACCCTTGAGGGACCGGCGTACGAGTGGTTCAACGTGCTTCCCGAAGGAAGTATTGACTCATGCAGGACCTTGCCCAGCGCTTCCTTACCCACTTTGCCGGGAGGAAACGTGCGAAGAAGTACTTCACCCATCTCCTCTCCGTCAAGCAGCAACATGACGAGCCCCTCCGATCATTCATTGATCGGTGGACAAGGGAGACCGAAGAGGTCGAGGGGGCCGATGAGCGCACCCTCCTCATTCTGTACCAGGGAGCCCTCCGTAGCTCCCCGTATGCCAGGAGCCTCATCACCGACCCTCCGAGATCGTATGCAAAGGCGCTTCAGCGCGGGAGCTTGTACGCCGACGCCGACGAGCTCCACAACCACAAAAAAAGAGGGAGGCCATCCCTCCAAGAAGACAAATCCTTCGCCGGGCCCGCGACCATCCCCGGCCGGCCAGGGTGCCCAGGGCCGTCACGGCTCTGGTGGACAAAGCAAGAAAGACCGCCACTAACGGCCGAGATTGGAACAGCCGGGGGTCCCCCTCACCCACCCGGTCAGCACCATCCTCGACTACGCTGAGAAGCACGGCCTCATTGAGCAGGCTCCTCGGCCGGCCGAGGAGGTTCTTGCCATCCAGCAAGGCGGCACATACTACCGGTTTCACAAGAACTCCTCGCACAACACCGGCGACTGCATCACGCTGAAGAAAGCCATCGAGTGCCTTATTCGTCAGGGGGAACTCTCCCAATTTGTTAAAGGTGGCCCGCGCAAAAATACGTGGGTAAACACCGGCAAACCTGGGGGCGAACCCTCTACGAAGAAACGGGAGATCGGCAGGCTCAGCGACGATGAGGACTTTGAGGAGCCTCTGCCAAAGAAGAACCATATTCACCTCATCGTAGGTGGGAATACCGGGGGGACTCCGCCACCCAGAGGAAGAAATGGGCCCAATCCCTTTACATTGGGG